TTCTGTGCAATAGATCTCTGCAGCTTACTTCTCCTTTTGTTGTTGTTGTTGTTGTTGTTGTGACGGAGTCTTGCTCTGTTGCCAGGCTGGAGTGCAGTGGCGTGATCTTGGCTCACTGCAACTTCTGTCTCCTGAGTTCAAGCGATTTTACTGCCTCAGCCTCCTGAGTAGCTGGGATTACAGGTACGCGCCACCACGCCCAGCTAATTTTTTGTACTTTTAGTAGAGACAGGTTTCACCATGTTGGCCAGGATAGTCTCGATCTCTTGACCTCGTGATCCACCCGCCTCAGCCTCCCAAAGTGCTGGCATTACAGGTGTGAGCCACCGTGCCCGTCCTATTTCTCCTTTCAAAACTGAATTTTTGTACTCAACATCTCCCTTTTCACTCTCCACCCTCTTCTGTCCGTCTCTCGTAACCACCATTCTACTCTGTACTTCTGTGAGTTCCACTCTTTTAGATTCCACAAATAAGTGAGATCATTTGTGGTATTTGTCTTTCTTGTCTGGCTTATTTCACTTAGCATTATGTCCTCCAGGTTCAGTTTGTACTTAAAAATTATGATACAGTACTTTGTAAAACAGTGAGTACTCTTTTTTTTTTTTTTTTTACAGAGTCTTGCTCTGTCGCCCAGGCTGGATTGCAGTGGCCAGATCTCAGCTCACTGCAAACTCCGCCTCCCGGGTTCATGCCATTCTCCTGCCTCAGCCTCCCGAGTAGCTGGGACTACAGGCGCCCGTCACCTCGCCTGGCTAGTTTTTTGTATTTTTTTTAGTAGAGACGGGGTTTCACCGTGTTAGCCAGGATGGTCTCGATCTCCTGACCTCGTGATCTGCTCGTCTCGGCGTCAAGTACTCATATTTTTGACTGCCTGATATTATTGACTTCAGCCTGATGCCAAATTGCTGATTATATTTCTCATAGTGGATTTTGTGTCTTTACACTTAGAAGAATTGAGCAGATACTTACAGAAGAGTACTGTGCAAATTAGACGTGCAAATTAGAAAACTGTCATTAATTGGATGGATTAGGCATTTTGAGTAGTTCACTCAGACCATGGAGATGAGAGTACTGACCTCTGAATATTATGAAAGAATCGTTAATAACAATAGCGAAGGCAAGCTCTGACCATTGTCTCTGGAAGAACTTAGAGTCCAGTGTACAGTACCCTTCCTCCATTGTAATTTGCATTTGTGAGGAAAGGATGTTTCTAGGTGGTGCTCATCTTTCACTTTGGACTCTGACATTTTTTGATGTTGGCCTAACACTTAGCCATGACTCATGGGGTGCCACCTTCAGTCTCTAAGAATCAGGCCAGGTTTCTTGTAGATCTTGTCATATTGCCACTTGGAATTTAGCCGGAGAAAAGAAAGTAAGGCACAATTGCAGTTGTTTAGATGAACATCTCAGTCAGGCTTATGAGAGGCAGTAGGGCAGAGTAGACTGTCCTCATTCTCTCTGGCCTTTGTTTTCCACCTGTTCTGAAGATTCTTCTCTGAACCGTATCCTGTGCAGAGATGACAGTTGATCATAGAGGTTCCCCTACCCCCAATTTCGGGCTGATTCCTAAAATTTCATCAGTATCAAGAAAGTAATTTATTTGTTCAAATTTTATTACTCAAGAAAAATGCAGCTATCCCTGCAGGGAGCTAAAAAGCCAACATCTAAATGATGGCAGCGGTGGCCTGTCTGGATGGGCTACTGCCATGATGCCAGCTGCAGGCGGGGAGGCATGGTCTGCACTGCACACCCCATGGAGCCAGTGGGAGCCAGGAATAGGTGGAAACCCTGCCTGCTTCCAGGTTGGCGGGGCAGGAGCAGCCGTGGCTACATACCTGGGCATCCCTGTGCTTTTGGGGGCCCAGGAACCTCCCCTGCCCCTGCAAGCTTGAAGTGCCTGCTCCCACTGCCTGGCCTCTCCTTGCTCCTGGTGCCCGCTCTGATCCTGGTGCCCGCTCTGATCCTGGTGCCCGCTCTGATTTTGGAGCAAAGTTGAGGCCAAGCCTGGGCACTGTCATGACCTGGCTGGGTGTGCATGTGCTAGGGGCAGCGCTGACACGCCAGCCCCCTGCTGCCTTGGCCCCGTCTACATTTTGGGTGTCCAGGAGCACGGGAGGGGAGGCCAAGGCGGAGCTGAGGGCAGCTTCATGCAGGCCTGCAGGCGCCCCTTGGCACGAATAGCCAGGGTGCCTTGATAGCAGCAGGAGGCAGACAGGCTCCTAGGCGGAAATGGGCGGGTCCCTGGTGAATCCCCACCTTCAAACCAGGGATGGCCTGAAGCCTGGGGCCCAGGCTGCCAGTTCTGTGGACTGGAGTGAGAACTTATGGTGCTTTTTCCAGGCTGCCCATGGCTTCCCAATGGGCCAATCAGCATGTACTTCCTCCCCTCTGAAGCCCATGAAAACCGTGGACTCAGCCAGACTTGACAGGACGGCGGACTGCGGATAGGAGCTTCCCACTCCAGCTCTCCTCTCCACTGAGGGCTGCGGAGACAAAAGGATGACCTGCCTTCAGATAGGAGCTATCCACTTTTGGTCCCCTCTCCGCTGAGGACTGCACAGATGCTGGGACGACCTGCTGTGGAAAGGAGCTACCCACTTGGGGTCTCCTGAGAACTATTGTGTTGCTCAACAAAGCACCTCTTCACCTTGCTTATCCTCCAGTTGTCCATGTACCTCATTCTTCCTGGACGTGGGACTAGAACTCGGGATCCACCAAATGGCAGGACTGAAAGAGCTGTAACAAACAGAGCTGAAATATGTCCCCAGCTCCCCCCACCCACCACTTGCCACGTTGTGAGCAAGAGAAAGAGACAAGAGAGGAGAGAGAGAAGAGAAGAGTTGCAGCCCTTTGGGAAGCCCAGACCTAGGAGCTCCCTGAGCCTGGGCTGTGACCCCCTCTTTGGAGCTCTGTGGTTCCTAGCATCTCCAAGCTTCTGGGCACCACCATGTTCCCCAGTGCCTGCATTGGAAGCTGCTTGTGGTATGCCTGGTTCAGCTGCAGCCTCTCAGGGAGCTGGCGCCTGGAGCTGCCCACCCCCTGGCAGCTGGTGTGCCTGGCTGTGCACAGTGGCCGGAGCCTGTGTTCACTTGCCTGTGCACTGTTTGCTGCTCCGTGCCTGGCTTGCCCTTGGCGTGCATGGAATCTGTGCTGGTGACACGAGCTGAGCGTAGCCTGCCAGGCTGAGTGGACGGAATGGGCCCAGAGGGCCTGAGCAAAACTCAGGCAAAGGCACCACTGGCCACAGAGGTTTCTGGCTGGCAAAGCGACACCCCAAGTATTCTGTGACATAAACATGAAATATAGAATATTCAGAACTTTGCTGTAATAGCTAGTTGCTAGAAGCTGTCTGCTAAATGAGCCAATAATAAATAAGCTTACCTTTGGGGGAAGGAGAATCCCTGAGGGAGTTTTAATAGCTGGAAACTGTGAACAAGCTTGAGGTGTTAAGACCCTGAAAGAGGAAAGGGAAATGAGTACTGAGAAAAGAAGGGGAAGGGCCAGGTGCAGTGGTTTACACCTGTAATTCCGGCACTTTGGGAGGTCGAGGTGGGTGGATCACCTAAGGTCAGGAGTTCAAGACCAGCCTGGCCAACATGACAAAACCCTGTCTCTACTAAAAATACAAAAATTGGCTGGGCGCAGTGGCTCATGCCTGTAATCCCAGCGCTTTTGGAGGCCAAGGCAGGTGGATCACGAGGTCAGGTGTTCAAGACCATCATGGCCAACATAGTGAAACCCCGTCTCTACTAAAAATACAAAAAATTAGCTGGCGTGGGAGTGGGTGCCTGTAATCCCACCTACTCAGGAGGCTGAGGCAGGAGAATTGCTTGAAACCAGGAGGCGGAGGTTGTAGTGAGCCGAGATCGTGCGATTGTACTTAGCCAGGGTGACAGAGTGAGACTCTTTCTCAAAAAAAAAAAAAGAAAAGAAGGAGAAGGACATTTTAAAGACATTATACTGGCCCTAGCTATTCTGGAGGCTCAGGTGGGAGGATTGCTTGAGCTCAGGAGTTTGCGGCTACAGTGTGCTCTGATTGTGACTATGAGTAGCTCCTGCACTCCAGCCTGGACAACCTAGCAAGACCCCATCCCTTAAAAAAATAAAAGTAATAAAAAAGGAAATAAAAACCGTTATGCTGCTCTACAACTTTCATAGAACTAACCTTGGTGAAGTGGTCACTGAAATCTGTAGAGCATTTAGAGTTAAGACATCAACTCGTGCGGTGGTTCATGTGTATAATCCCAAGTCTTTGTGAGTTTGAGACAGGAGGATCCCTTGAGGCCAGGATTTCAAGACCAGCCTGGGCAACATAGCGAGGCCTTTTAAAAAAAAAAAAAAAAAAAAAAGCTGTGTGTGGTGGCACGTGCCTGAGTCCTGGCTGCTTGGGAGGCTGAGGCAAGAGGGTCACTTGAGCTGACAAGGTTGAAGCTGCAGTGAACCAAGATCATACCACTGCACCCCAGCCTGGACAACAGAGTGAGACCCTGTCTTAAAAAAATAAAATAGAGTTAAGAAATCCATGTTTTGTTAATCCAGGACTTGTTGAGAGCCATCCCTTTACAAAAGGCTCTTTTCTCTACCTGCACCAGTCATGCCTTCACATTGCCTTATACCTGTCGTATCGATGATATGGAGGGTAGTGGGAGAGTCTATGTAACTGTCTTTCTCAGACAAATTATTCCAATCTTTTGCATGCAATCAGGGTTTAAAATGAGCAGTTAGTATGTAGGCTGCACTATGAGGGGGAATGACTTCCAACTTCAGGCAATTCATTGTGGCCGTTGTTCCACAGAGAGGCATTTCAGTATTTCTACTGGAGCCTGTGTTTTGTGAAGCTTCGTTGTTTTTGCCAGATGCCATTGGCTCATCTTGGTGAAGTACATGCTATAGAACTGATATTTTGCTGAGTGTATCCTTGTCAACATTTCGGAAATACTGGTGACAAACTCTTTTCCCACCCCAATGAGAAAATGTTTGTTTTCACTTTCTATGACCAGTTAAAAGAAGATGGATGCACAGTGTTCAGCCAAGGTCAATGCAAGGAAGAGGAGGAAAGAGGCGCCTGGACCCAACGGGGCAACAGAGGAAGATGGGGTTCCTTTCAAAGTGCAGCGCTGTGCAGTAGTAAGTGGAGACGAACCCGGCAGGGGGAGGGTAGAAACCGATACAGCGTTGATGATATCAGTGTTACACGTCTTCTGAAATAATGAAAAGAAGGAATAGTAGGTGTATTTCACAGTCACTGGAAATCTGCCTTTTTACTAGATTATGACTCAGCTCAGTTGTAGAAGCTTTACACTGGATTTAGAAAAAGAAATGTTAGGAAAATATGAAAGTTGCATGTGTATTAGGCTAAAACTATTGAAATATGGCCAGGTGCGGTGACTCTTACCTGTAATCCCTGCACTTTGGGAGGCTGAGGTGGGTGGATCACCCGAGGTCAGGAGTTCAAGACCAGCCTGACCAACATGGTGAAACCCCCTCTCTACTAAAAATACAGAATTAGCCGGGCGTGATGGCACATGCCTGTAATCCCAGCTACTGGGGAGGCTGAGGCAGGAGAATTGCTTGAACTCGGGAGGCGGAGGATGCAGTGAGCCAAGATCGTGCCATTGCATTTCAGCCTGGGCAACAGAGAGAGACCCTGTCTCAAAAATAAAAATAAAAATAAAAAATAAGTAAATAAATAAATAAATAAAACTAATAAAATAGAAAAATTGGGGCTCTAGGCAGTGTTTTGATCTTCACATCATCTCGTGTCTAGTGCGTTTTTTCTACTGTTTTTTCTCCCTATATCATTCCTCCATTCTATTACTAGTTATATCTTGAATGAGAACCTTTTTCCATTTATGCCTACCTTATGCTCCTTTATCTCTGGAAATGTATCTCTGTATTTCCTCATTATTGCCAAACCTTAGATGAAAGACCCCATTCCACACTGCCTACCTTGTCTCAGCTTGCTACCCTTCTAAAACTTTCCATAATAAAAACATGTCAGAGAACACTTATACACAATTGAAGCTACTGTTGTTAATATTATTATGAAATCTGTGTTTCAAAATCCCAGTGACAGAATTGTATGTTTCTTTACCTATATTGACCATTAGCCATTGATCAAACTCAGTTTCCACTGGTTAGTTCTAGAGCTTCCCAGCCCAAAGGGAAAAATCTATTCTGAAGCAATTAATAGTTATTCCAAGTGAATGCTCTGTCTTGAGCAATAAAAGCAAATAATACCCCACAAATAAACAAATGCCTGCAGCTGATATTGATCATAAGGGCAAGTATATATATTTGTTTCCTGTTGCATTTGTAACAAATTACCATAATACAAATATACAAATGAATTATCTTACATTTCTGGATATCAGAAATCTGAAATGGGTTTCAGAGGACTAAAATCAGGGTGTTGGCAGAGCTGGAGCATCCAGGGGAAAGTCCGTCTTCTTGCCTTTTCCAGCTTCTAGAGGGTCCCCATATTGCTTAGCGCTTGGCACCAGCCAGTGCTTACATCACTCTGACCATTGCTTCTGCCATATCTCCTGCAGATTCTGAATGTCCTACTCCCTTTTCACTTACAGGGACTCTTGTGATTACCTTAGGTGTACCCAGATAAACCAGAATAATCTTCCTGTCCTTCAAATCCTTTATTTAATCATATCTGCAAAGCTTCTTTACTATTTTTATTTGTATTTGTATTTTTGAGACAGAGTCTCGCTCTGTCGCCCAGGCTGGAGTGCAGTGGCGCGATCTCAGTTCATTGCAACCTCTGCCTCTTGGGTTCAAGTGATTTCCCTGCCTCAGCCTCCCAAGTGGCTAGGATTGCAGGTGCCCACCGCCATGCCTGGCTTACAATTTTTATTTTTATTTTTAGAGTAAGGGTTATGTTACCCAGGCTGGTCTTGGACTCCTGAGCTCAAGCAGTCTTCCTACCTCGGCCTCCCACAGTGCTAGGATTACCAGGCGTGAGCCACTGTGCCTGGCCTGCACAGTCTCTTTTGCCCTGTGTGGTAAAACAGTCACAGGCTCCAGGGAATGGGTGTGGCCATCTGTAGGGGGGCGTTATTCTGCATACTATAGTAAATAAGCTCAGAAAATGACTCAGCAATCAACAAAACAGGGCATTGTTGGTTTCTGAATATTTCTTAGAGAATTCAGATTGAAGAAATGGTGGTACCAATTCAGCAGCATCACTTGGAGCAGGAACAAGTTATAACCAAATAGGTGATACTGTCAGCTAATCAGCCAATCACTGTAGCTAGGAATAGAGCAAAGGAAGTCAGTCTTTTCAGTGGAATGAGCTCTGAGAAAACTTAAATTTCTTGGTCTTTAAAGTCTGGGGAGTCTTTTTTTTTTTTTTTTTTTAAATTCTTCTGGGGAGTCAATGCTTTAAATTCCTTTGTTTCATCTATTCATGTGAAATCAGTTCAGTGACTTGCTACCTGTTCCACATTCCTCCCTGAAACACACAGGCTATTTAGCACAGGCGAATGGTCGAAGAGCCACCCAACAGCCTGGACCAACGTTGGTGAGGAGGGGCGTCTGCTAGTAAACGTGCCTGTCATCTCACTGTGCGCCTGTACTTTCTCACTCTGAATCTCCTTTGAACGCTATAACAAAAACAAGACTTTTTTCTTTTTTTTAACAGCTTTGTTGAGTTATAACTGACATATCATTTACAGTATACAATTCAGTGGTTTTTAGTTTAGTCACAGAGTTGTGCAGCCATCACCATGACCAGTTTTAGAATTTTTTTCTTTATTTTTTTGAGACAGGGCCTTGGTCTGTTACCCAGGCTGGAGGGCAGTGGTGTGATCATAGTTCACTGCAGCCTCAACTTTCTGGGCTCAAACCGTCCTCTCACCTCAGCCACCCACGTAGCTGGGAATATAGGTGCACATCACCATGCCTGGCTAATTTTTAAATTTGCTTTTGTAGGGATGGGGTCTCACAGCGTTACCCAGGGTGCTCTCAGTCTCCTGGATCAAGCGATTCTCCTGCCTCAGCCTGCCAAAGTGTGGGATTGCAGGCGTGAGGCACCAGGCCTGGCCTGGGATATTTTTATCACCCCAGAGAGAAGGTGTCTACTCAGGAGCAGTCACTCCCCGTTTTCCCCCAGTCTCTCCAGCCTCTGGAGACCACTAACCTGCCTTTTGATTCTGTGGATTTGCCTGTTCTGGGCGTTACATACAAATGACATCATACAGTATGTGGTCTTTTGGGGCTGGCTTCTTCCGCTGAACATGTTTTGAAGATTCATTCATATTGCAACATCTATAAGTACTTAATTTTTTTGAGACAGAGTCTCGTTCTGTTGCCCAGGCTGGAGTGCAGTGGCGTGCTCACGGCTTCCCAGGTTCAAATGATTCTCCTGCCTTAGCCTCCCGAGTAACTGGGACTATGCAGGCACCACCACTCCTGGCTAATTTTACCATGTTTCTCAGGCTGGTTTCAAACTTCTGACCTCAGGTCATCCGCCCACCTCAGCCTCCCAAAGTGTTGAGATTACAGGTGTGAGCCACCACGTCTGGCCAGTACTTCAATTTTTTTTTATTGGCAAATAACGTTCCATCATATATCACATGCTACTTTTTAGTTATTAATTCCCCAGTTGACATTTGGGTTGAGTAAGCAAGATTTTATTGCATGTTTATTTATTTATTTTTTGAGACGGAGTCTTGGCTCTGTCACCCAGGCTGGAGTGCAGCAGTGTGATCTCGGCTCACTGCAAGCTCCATCTCCTGGGGTCACGCCATTCTCCTCCTGCCTCAGCCTCCCGAGTAGCTGGTAGTACAGGCGTCCACCACCATGCCTGGCTAATTTTTTGTATTTTTTAGTAGAGACGGGATTTCACCATGTTAGCCAGGATGGTCTCAATCTCCTGACCTCGTGATCTGCCCACCTCGACCTCCCAAAGTGCTGGGATTACAGGCGTGAGCCACCGCGCCCGACCTTTATTGCATATTAACAATGCGCTAGTATGGCAGTAGGTGGTAGAGGTGTAAAGATAAACAAGACCTTCCTTTTATGAGATGTGAGCATAGATTAGAATTCTATAGCCTAGAGCTCACTAACTTTTTTTTTTTTTTTTTTTTTTTAATGGGGACTCGCAGGCCAGGCACAGTGGCTCACGCCTGTAATCCCAACACTTCGGGAGGCCGAGTTGTGTGGATTACCTGAGGTCAGAAGTTCGAGATCAGCCTGGCCAACATGACAAAACCTTGTCCCTACTAAAAATACAAAAATTAGCTGGGCGCAGTGGTGGGTGCCTGTAATCCCAGCCACTCAGGAGGCTGAGGCAGGAGAATAGCTTGAACCTGGGAGGTGGAGTTTGCAGTGAGCTGAGATTGTGCCACTGCACTCCAGCCTGGGCAACAGAGTAAGACTTCGTCTCAAAAAAAAAAAAAAAAAAAAAAAAAAGAAGGGTTGGAGACCTGCTGTGTTGCCCAGGCAGGTCTTAAACTCCTGGGCTCAAGCTGTCCGCCTGCCTCTGCCTCCCTGTGCTGAGGTGACAGGCGTGGACCACCACACCTAGCTTTAGAAAAGCACTTTTCTTGCAAGTAAAGAAAGGAATAGGAAGGATCACCAAGTATTAGATACCTGGGTTGGCGGGTCGGGATGAAATGGATAGAAAAGAGACAAAAGAGTTAAGAAGGAAAAACTTTATGGCTATTTTGTCTATAAGTATAAATCATTTATTGATACCGATGTTTCTAAAGGTTCAATCAAAAGGATCACAAAAGTATTTATAAAACATAAGACATTTAGCTTATCTTAATATATATCCGGCTGGGCGCAAGTGGCTCATGCCTGTAATCTTAGCACTTTGGGAGGCCAGGGAGGGCAGATCACGAGGTCAGGAGTTTGAGACCAGCGTGGCCAACATGGTGAAATCCCGTCTCTACTAAAAATATAAAAAAAATTAGTGGGGTGTGGTGGCGCACGCCTGTAGTCCCACCTACTCAGGAGGCTGAGGCAGGAGAATGGCTTGAACTCGGGAGGCAGAGGTTGCAGTGAGCCAAGATTGTGCCACTGCACTTCAGCCTGGGTGACAGAGTGAGACTCTGTCTCAAAAAAAAAAAAAAGCAAAAAAAAGAATCCTTAGAAAGTAAAAAGTGTACTGG